TAATACACACACAGGTAATACACACACAGCTGATACACACACACACACACACACACACACACACACACACACACACACACACACACACACACACACACACACACACACTACGTACTACACAACACACACACACGACACACACACACTACACAACACACACACTCACACACACACACACACACACACACACACACACACACACACACACACACACACACACACACACACACACACACACACGCACACACGCACGCACGCACTAGTTGCCTACTTTTCTACTTTCTTCGACTCAATTGTGTGTGTTCATTTCTGCCAAGCCACCTTTCCCACACACATTTTGTGATCCTTATATACAGATCCGTGTGAAATATTAGGGATTACATCACGAGATTGTGCCCAGCCGCACCCATCAGGTGGCCAAGTCTGCTAATACAAACTTTAAAGCAGCATTGAGTCATCTATGACTTTTAGCTGCTTCTGTTGGCCACTAGCAAGAATTACAGCAACTTCTCTGGGATAGTTTATGGTGTTGAAATGAGAATTCTAGACATGCAACAGCATTGTTTTGTAGCTCAGAGCTAACACGTTTGCTTGTTTTATTCATAAAGTGTTATGTTGTTTATTTTTGCAGCATTTCACTCTTTTATTTTTGTCTCCACAGATGGAGTCAGCACCTACAGGAACATCATAAATACAGACATACAGAACAACATATTTCTTGCAGTGGCAGGTAGGACTTTTAAACTCTAAAGATAGCACACTAAATACCAACAAGGGTTGCTCGATTATGGCAAAAATCATAATCTCGATTATTTGGGTCAATAATTGATATCACGATTATTAAAAACGATTATCCATTTACTTTGAAAACATCCATTTATTGAAAAAAAACATTTGAATAGTATGTTTTGAACAGTTGATTACCCTGAACTCGATGTATAATTAAACTGAAAAACCAATAAAAAATTTTTTTTGAAAATAAATATTCGTTTTATTTCAATTATGTTGTTTTCATAATCGTTGCAAGCTAAAATCGTAATTGCGATTAAAATACAATTAATTGAGCAGCCCTAATACCAACTGTAACTTAATGAGTAGTTGTGTTTTAGGTTTTTTATATTTGACTTGTTAAAGTTAGACCACCGCCAGTAGCTCTGAAACATTCGTATTGAAAAATGCTGCTAGTCTACAATCAACCCCCTCAGGACCACTACATCTTGTCCTCTTTACAACATGTTTACAGCGAACACACACAGACATTACACAGCCTTGGTGACAGAAGTTTTTCCAGTGAGAATGATCTAAGCTGTTTCATTCTCAGAAGAAGTGCAGTAAAGTGCAGAACAGGTGTTGGCCTAGTTGGAAAGACGTACTCGGCCTGCTGTGTTTCTTTACGTGTGGGTTTAGAAATGCTGCGGGTCATGCATAAGTGTGGTAAATTATATGTCAGACTTTACATTTACATGTTTGTTCAACACAATATATTTTTCGTTAAGCGTGTTCGGTAAAACAACACATCCTGTTTTAAAAAGTGATGTAATCCTGAGTTCTGATAAGTCATGTGGGAAATGATGCTGATATCCACTAGTAGGATTAACTTCAAAATAACTTTCCGATTTCTTCCTTGTGGTCTGGTATACTTCAAATCCTGGCATTTCATCTTTCAAATGTGTCCCTGGGCAATTGAAACAGACATTAGATCTGGAAACATAGAAACTTATTTCCGGCAAATATTCCCCCAAAAATGTCCATTGCAAGTGTTTTTCATTTGTCACGTAACTGCTGTGTTTTCATTAGAATGGTTTTATGGTTAGACAATAAAGATGTCTACTCTACATTGATAACCGGTATGACGCAGGGTGTAAAGAACCGTTGGTAACCCCCAAACATTTCAACTTATTATGAAACTTAGCGCTGACTCTTCCACCTGAGATCAAAATGTATTTGATCCGCTGCTCCACCCATCAGGAACAAGTCACCCGGCTGTTTCTTTGTGTCCTGCCTTTTTAGTTTAGATTAGCATTCTCCACTGTGTGATCACACTGTGTAGGATTACAATGCATGACTCTCTGAATGGGAGCCGGCTCTCGCTGTGCCAGGCTCCGCTGACTGTATGCTAACCAAGGCCCCGCTATGTGCCCTGTGTGTGTACGTGTGTGTGCGGAAAAACCCGGTGAGGTCATGGCTTTGGCTGTAGGGTCTGGTTACATGTGTGTTGTCCACGCAGGGCAACTGACACTGGCTCTTTCTCCTTTTGTCTTCCTTTCTAATCTATCTCACCTGACTCCATATAACCTCACATTAAAGCTTCTATTAACTAGTGCCGGGCGCAGCCGTCTCTGAAGTTGGAGACTGGTTATCAGTCTAAGGTGGCAGCAGTCTGGGCCAGATGTGTTTTTTA